TATTCAGACACCAATTTTAACTATTAATTGACTGCTAAAGATCCAAGATACAAATTGCTGTTGACTAGATTTATTAGTTATATTGTTATATTTGACTAATTCATTTTAAGTAAGTATCAAATAAAGGCTATTTTATAAAAGACTATAGTCTTTCTCTTGTCACCATAACTTGTATAACTTTTACAATTAAATGCAAAACAAACCACTATTATATTTAAATACTGAAAGAGGCGTTTTTAAATCCTTTTCAAGCAAAAACACGCAAAACAAACTTGTAAAATTGACACTGACAGTATTACACATTATCACACATTAATGGGCGTTACCTGATCATTTTTTTATTTCCACCTTCTAAGTAAATAACATTTTATAGGTTAATTTTGTTGTTTTTGTATCCAAGTAAACGATACATTATGGGAACAGACCTGTAATATTTTACAGGCCTGCATATAAGACCTGTAAAGTTTTACAGGCTTGTAGAAAAGCAGTTTATGAAATGAAATGTCACTTTTGACAAATTAATTAAAATTTTAAATTTGAAAATCGTTATCTAAAGGTGAAAATAAAAGTTTGTACTTGTCACGCTTTGCAATTCATCTTTACTAGGCTCACTGGATTATGGGGTTTGCTCCTGCGTCGCTCACCCCACAAAGTTCCAGCTCGCCTGTAAAGATTCATTTACAAAGCATGACACGTAAATAACTATCATTATGTCTGTAAAATTCTCCAATAAAAAATATTATCACAACACTGATTATAATTACGTTTATTTATACTGGTCACAAAATTTTGACCACTGGTCACTAAAAAAAGAAATAAGAAACATAATGTAAAAACCGAATGTTATTTAATAGAAAGCAAACATATTATTAGATGTTGTTTACAGCAAATTTTTGACTGTAAACCAATAAATATTTAAAACAAAAAATGTTTCTTCAGTACCTTTTTTTGCTTAAGGGGAGGTCTCTCCATAGGGCAAGTGGTTTCCCCAACGAATGTTTACCTGAAATTTTTATATCGCATATCACGCAAGGAAAATAATGCGTGAAAACAAGAACAAATACTTTTTAAATGACAAAAATATATTGCAAAAAAAATAAACTTTTTTTAATGAAAAGCTTCAAAAATGTAACCAAAAGAGAACATTAATTTTTTTATTGTTTTCCAAATAAACAAAAACTTTTATTTTTTCCCTTAATAATGTAATAAAATATACCTACAATTATAGGTAAAAATCACCTAAATGTAAAAAAGTTTAATGGGCTTTAAATCACCAAAATTAAAATTAAAGAAAAAATTTTGACTAATATATGCATACTATGCACTCTGTCGGCTAAAAACCACTGAGCGACGAAGAGTTGGACATCTTTTATGTAAAATTGAAAAGTACATGTAATAAATCTATAGTTAATTTAATTTTTAGTTTCCGAATTGTTTATTTAATAAAATATCAATTACGTAAATGTAAATAATATATAATTTTACTTTGCTATTTATCTAAATACAACTTTATAATGTTAAATTAATGAACAATAAATAAAAAGTTAAATATATTTTATGCATCTTTAAAAATATCATGTTAATATTTTTTTTCAATAGTTATTAAATTACTAATATAAATCCAAATAAATTGTTTTTTTAATGTAAACAATTAAAGTTAATAGTCAATTACCCAAGCTTTAATCAACTGTTTTATAGATTCATTTAAAATATTTTATCTTTAAGTGTTCTATAATTTAAACTTAATTATTGTCAAGACTAGGCAGTAACATGTAATCCTTAGCCGTTACCGAAAAATTGTTAAATAAGTATAGATTGTTACGGTTGAAATAGGTGACAGCAAATGTTTGTGGTATTTTTTACCACAACAAAAATGTTTTTAAGTCTTAGTAATGTTAAATGAAATTAACCATTAAAAGCTTCTTAAGCAGCACTACAACGTTGTGGTATCAAATAGAATTACCGAATTTTGATAGTAGCTACTGCATTATAGTAAGTCTGAACATTCTAGTCGTTTAAATTATGCTTTAAGTGAGAAATATTTAATAACAACGAAATGCTATTAAAAAAAGTATTATTTATTATTTATTAACTTATCAGGGTAATATTTAGTACTTGTATAACTAGTATGTCCTAATGTTACGATATTTAACCAATAATTTTCTTATTTGGTAAGCAGTACTACCAGAGCCGGCTTAAGGCAATTGAGCGCCTTAGGCACTTAAAAATTTGGCTCCTCTAACTAGATACTATACTTACGGGGCCCGGGGCAAATTTTAAAAAAGCTTATTAGAGCCACCCCAAACTGTTAGCTTAAGGGCGCCCGAGCATTATAACCTAATTATTCCTTATGATTTAGAATACATTTTATCATTAAAAAAATACATAAATAACATACAAACATAACAAATATAATGTAAATAAAAAGTTTTAGGACTTATAAGTGCGTTTTTCTGCAAGATGTATTAGTAAGTATTTAAAAAAAATTAAATCAACTTTAATTTTCTGTATTTGTATGTTAGATGTACTGCTGGTTTATTGTAATTAGTTTAATATTAAAATTTCAGAAATACCTTAAAACAAACAGAAAAATTAACACTATCCAAATGTGGATTTAGCCAGCATTTTGTGTAACGTAATCTAACGTAACGTAATTTAATTTAAAAGCCAGGCTAAATCAACCTTAACTATCGAACACAGACTGCTATCACCAAACACACAACACTCTTGAATAAACGCGAAAACACCCAAGTCCTTCCGGCAGCAGTTTCCTCTAGTATCGCGTACCCGCTGGGGTGAGCAGCACATCACAGCGGGTACCCGATGCAAGAGAAATCCGTGTGCTTGGAGCATACGGCGGTTTTGAAATAGTTTAAAGAGTGCTAAAGATATGTTTATACAGGGTAAAGTTTACAAATTAAATTATCTTTTAAGTTTTTGTTTGCAGTTTAACGTTAAGATTTATTATTATTTGTTAATTATACAGTTAATAATAAAATATCTTATTCTACTTCAACACGCAGTACGCTCGCAATCAAGCTTGGTGATATAACACCTGATTAATTTTATCTGAAATACATTTATGTATTTGGCATAAAAACAGAAGTGAATTTGCGACACGCTTTTTTGTCGGCTTTACACCTCGTTATTACAAAGGAAGCTAAATTTTTATAAAATAATAAAAACAGTAAATAATATTCTGTTATTACAATTGTATATTGTTTATTTGTTTTATTTTTGGAAAAAATAAACATTTTGGTAACAATTTTTATTTTTTTTTAAGTTGCTTGGGGACAAGGCGCCTATTTCTACGTGGCGCCCAAGGCAATTGCCTTGCCTGCCTAATGGGTAATATGGCCCTGAGTACTACTTCCAAACCGTTGGACCAAACGGAATAAATACTGAATTAAAAGGTTATCGATTATCGTTTTTGGTGTTATGTAAAAGTATGCAGTAAAGGTTATAGGATAAAAGAGAACATGTTTTTTAACAAATTTTTATTAAAAAAATATATATAAAATTCTTAGAATAAAATAAATGATATCGTCTCCTTAACTTTTATGATAAACAAAAAAACCTAAACCAACAATAATACAATATATATACTAAATATGAGAAGGTGTAACAATAAAACCTTTAATAAAAATATAATAAGTAATTTATTTATTTGTTAAATTTTACTTAATATTAAACAAGTGTTTGTCATTCCCAAAAGGGTTAGCTATACGTTTTCAAACTCATAGCCCAACTGTATAGATATTACCACAGAACACTTGTTCTGTGGATATTACTAATATATTAAAAAATAACGTCAAAACTTTTCAAAATATTGAACATTGAATTTTATTATAATAATACCTGTAACTTACAGGCTGTAAGTAAGAAATACCCAAATAGGTTTTTTACGTAAAAGCATAGAAAAGAATGGTTTTTCTATGGTAAAAGGCAAAAATGTTTATCCCGTCACCACGCAAAGGCTGCAAGCGAATATAAACCTAAAGTTAATACTGATCAATTTATTAAATAGAATGAAGTAAGTAGCCCTTTACAAGCAAAAGCAAAAAGCGTAATATTAGAATGAAGTAAATTAAAGTTATGTTAGATAGATTTATTTACTTACCCTTATACTTATTAGCAAATCGTCCATTGAGGCGTCTTTATGCAAGCTTACTAACAACAATGGCGATTGTGCGCGATGAACAGTATAGATAAGCTTTGTTTTAGTATTACCAACTTCAAAATTTGTAAGATATAATAGAACGTTGTAGTAATACTTACCACAAATGTTTAGTGCCGATGAAAGAAATCATATTTGGAAGAGTTACTTGTTACTTGATTTATTTATAATATCTGAGTTGTTTATAAATTAACGATGTGATATTAGTTTGGCAGCATTTTGTAATACTTTTAAATAGGATCTGCCTACTATAACTACTGTTACATATTTGACATTTTTCCTGTTGTTATATATTTAGGTCGCCATTAATACTAAAGCATGTATTATTTCATACTAATTTAGGCTACATTTTTGTTGCAGTATTACTAGATAAATGCTTAGTTTTTCTTTATGCATCGTAAATGTATATTAAACATTTTGCCATTTTATTTTCTACTGAACCTATACTACAATTACTTAGTAGTAAAAATGTTTAAATAAAACTTTTCAGTGTAACAAGTTGCATAAAAAAATACATGTTCAGGGGCTAAATTTTCCGCAACCACCCCCCTGGACCCGCTACTGGTGTAACTACTATATACTTAATAATTATAGCAAGAATGTGATGTATTATTATTTATGTTATAAAAAACACCTAATGCATTTATAAACTAAAATTTATCGGGTAGTGTATTGCAAATTTTCTAAACCCTTTATAAAGAATAAGATTTAAGTTGGTGTAATTTATTGTCATAATATAAAAGACCGTTTAGCTTACGTATTCAAAGTCCCGTAGCTATAAATAATATCGCATCGTAAATCTACGAAAACATTTTTGTTACAGATGCGGCGTTCCCCAGGTTCGCAGAGCCGATACCAAACGTCACAGTCACTGTCGGTAGAGACGCACTTCTTGCTTGCGTTGTCGACAATCTTCGAGGATTTAAGGTAAGAATACACCAAGTTTCAAAATAATATTTTATTAAATACAACATTAAATTTTACAATACCTTAAACCAATTTTTAATATTATTTTAAAATGCTTTGTTTTGTTTAAAACATGTGTTAATAAACTAGTTCGGAACAAAAAGTTTCTATAAACATGGGTATAATATTGCTTTGTTTTTGATGGTGTTAAAAAGCCACCTTAGGTAGGTATTAAGCTTTTAACAAAATAATATTTTTAGTTTGGTTTAGTAAATAAATTTATTTTTTAAAATTTAATATTTAATAAAAATTAATGTATGTAGTACCTACGCTACTACAAAAAATACAATTTAAAAAATGGCAAAATAAATCAAAAGTTCGTATCCTATTCCTTAACTGAACCTCAGTTTGGGCTCCCCAATTATTCTTGAACACCTTCTCAGTCAATAAAGCCCAAAATGTTTCAATATGCCTAGCTGAAGGAACGTTGGGCGGATTATACGCGCGAGGCACAAATAGCATGTTTTTTACCGAGCGTGGAATCATAGCGATTACTCCCGATGATGAAAGTTGCCGAGCGACCTGATAGGCGAGTGAAGGAAATCATCGAGTGGTGCTTATTATAAATTTATTTTTAGAAAAAGTAACGTTTTATTAAAAACTGACACTTACGTTACGTTCCAATTAAGTTCAACTTATTTAAGCTAAACTTTATAAATGCTCACTTTTGCTTAAAAATACACAATTTGGGTACCCGCAAAAAAAAGTTCAACTTATTTAAGCTAAACTTTATAAATGCTCACTTTTGCTAAAAATACACAATTTGGGTACCCGCAAAAAAACTTGACTTTTAATTTAATTTTGACGTTTATATTCAAAGTCAATAACACTGTAGCGTCGCACAGTGTTTTAATTCCCGAAATTTTCGGCAAAATACCAAGGAGTAGTCGGATTCAAAGATAATATAAGATATTATCTTTGGTCGGATTCTCCTAAAAATCCGTATACAGAGGTTTTTGGGGTCACTGATATCGAATCTGGATTCCAAAATTCAAAATGGTAGATCCAAATGGCGGACACATTTGTCAAAAAATTGACTGAATAAATTGAAAATCACCACAAAGGGGTTTTGTGGTCGCTGGTAATGAATCTGGAGGCATAATTCCAAAATTCAAAATGGTGGACCTCAAATGGCGGACATTTTTATAAAAAAAATTGTCGAAATTAAAAAACCGTAAATTTCAAAATTTATTTATAAAATTTAAATATAACAGATTTTATACTAAGTATTTTAAATTTTTATTATTTCGTTTACTTAATATTTTAGCAACGATTTCTTAATTCGCAAAAAAAACTGTCAACACAAATAACCACATTTTAAATTTGACATTAACACACTACAATGCGCATGCTGAGTTGTTTTAACGCATCTAAAAGAGGTGGATTAACCCTTATGCAGGCGCACCTCTTTATGCAACGTAGTAGGTCACGCGGGGTGTCAGAGACACCCCTGAAGGCAAAGCGTCCCTGAGTGTTATTTACATTTTTTTTTGTTTTTTTTTTAAAGTTATCAAGTTAAGATGATCTGAGAGACAATTAGAACATATTTCGTTGCGTTCAAATTTGATAAAAGATGACAAAAAAAAGAAAATGTCAAAAGACGACAATTTTAATCAAATAAAGCATTTATTTAAAAAAAAACAAATTTTAAAAGTCATAATAATAATAAAAACAAAAAAACACTAAGCACTTAAGATAAGGTTTACTTTTACAAGTAATTATGATTTGGTAAAAAAAAGTCAATAGGGAGGCGAAACCCAGCCTGCTCACGGGGTGTCCACAGCACCCAGAGCCTGTTTAAAACAAAATACCAGACAACCTATTACATTAACTTCAAAATCGGCAATGTAATATGACTGAGTATACTTTAACAGGAAGGTACTGAAAGTAAGCGCCATTTATTCGAATCGAAGTGAGACCGGTAGCTATATTTAGGAAGCTGGGGTGTTTTGTACACCCCGCGTGCCTGCTTAAGGGTTAAATATGTAAAATCGGTGTTAAATATCTTAGTAGTCACGAACGATTTACGCAAGTGAAAGTCTAGACACCGCTGTTTTAATAAACGTTTTGAGTTAAATCCGAATGAATCGAGTAAACGTTATGAACGCAACCCAGAAGTAAAAATAAATCTTTTATTTTGTAAAGCAAAAACACAGATACGCGCGCGACATAGGCTTAAAATCGCGAGGTTTTTTACCACAACCGTGCTTGAGCACCCAAGAAGTTTTAAAGAGCCGGGGGCGAGTTTGGGCAGATAATTTATTGATGGCTTGATAGACAAAACTCTTAGATATTTAACGGATCTTGAACTAATGCCTTACAATTCATTACAATTTTTGTACCTCCATTGTTCTAAAAGCTCAATTCAAAGTTTTAACATGCAGAGCGATCTTGTCGGTTACAATAACCCGTTGTACAAGCAAAATCTACGTAAAACAAATTCATATCTGAATTTTACATACCTTTATCAAACCGCATAACAATCGGACACACCAAACACAAGTTATTCACTTTTAAACAATAAACAATTTTCCGCAGCGATCGCGTCTAAAATACCTTTCATTGAAAGCGTCAAGTTTAAACTGATGTACAAGACAAAATATACGTATTTTATATAATTTTTTTTCAAAACAGGATGGAGACACGTATTAACTACCCATATAACTCAAAATTTACCTGAAATTTTTTTTACATTTTTGAGTTTTTGCCGATATATTCGAGAATTGAAGCACTGTGCGTTGTCATGATAGCGGGAGGGAATGAAAATACATACAGGGGAAGATTGTTCACAGTGGGAGAAATAAATGTGTAGAAGTGTCTATATGTACTTCGCTTAATTGTAGGCCTCTGCTACTCATCGGCATTCAAACTTTGAGCACAGCACAAAGAGACTTACCTCTTAACCTTATGACATAAATAACTATTAAAATTATAAACTGTAAATTTAAAATAGTTAAGTACAAATCGGATAAAACAGATTTAAAAAAAGTAAGATTAAAGTGGAAAATGAAAGTCAATTTCGGACGTATCCCCAGCTGATCCGCGGATCCAATAAGCCTTCTTGAAGCGATCCATCACCCAGTCGGGACGATCCCAGTGCGACCGAACGTCCTGCTCTTCTACAAGAAGACGGGAGAGATTGTCGCAAATGATCAATCAATCTCACGCAAGGGCTTAGTTCTGATCTAATGTTAATTTATCTTGTGCTACATTACACCCTAAATATTAGTTAGCCAATTAATTTAAAAAATAATTACCTTTATCTTCAAGCGTTCTATAATTTAAACTTTATTATTCTCAACACTTACTACTAAAGTGATTGGTATCCGCCTAGGCCGTTTGATACTCGATTGCAAAATTCTTTTGCATTGTCAAATAATTTTTTTGCTCGCTTTCTATTACAAAAAACTTTAATTCCTGTATGCAAAAGTAGCATTTCGCAATCTGGCATCAAAAATAACTATAGACCAATTGGTTAAATTTTTTTACCCACTGGAATGTAAAAATCCATTTGTACAAATTTAAAAGTTAGACTACTGACAGATCTATCTATTCTCAATTTTTATTTTTAATAATTATTAATATTGGACGTTTGATGTATCGTTTACCAAATAAAATTATGCCTTGAAGATAAAATGTTGTATGGCATAAAATGTATTACACTGTTCAAAATTTCATGACCATTTTAACACCAAATTAACACCATACATGGTCTATATCGATACAAACCAAAATGGTGTTAAATATGGTCCGTTGGTCCAGTGTAAATTCAAATACTAAAATAGTGTAAATTTAACTTTCACACAGTATTAAAATAAATTTTACCTGGTGTAAATTGAACTTCTTTTCAGTGTTTTTGGTCAAATTAAATCATACTACACAGAAAAAAAGGAAAAAAAAGGAAACAGGAAGTTTCTTGACGCACTACTAGTATATTGCCAGTGGTATTATTCCAGAAAATTGAACCTTCAACTCGCTAGAGATAATGTTTTTAGTGCGTTCCACCAACTTAAGTACTGACAACTGTTTCCACCTATTTAAGGTCTCTTTAGTATCGAACTGTTCGATTCGAACAACTTGTAGTGTCTCACCAAAGCTTATATACTTTTCATGTAAGTCAACAGAGGCGAGATTTAAGAACATCACGTGATCCACACCGCCTTTGCCGCGATCCGTACATACTATGCAACCAGGAATGCACGGCAAATTGTTTTACCTTTTTAACAGAGTGCTTTAGGTTGAAGTAACTCTTATTTTACAAACAACATTTTAGTAAACTGAACCATACAGCGGGTTGGTTTCACTAAAGTTTTCTGGGTTAATTTAATCAATTTAAAAAAAAATAAAATAACCATCTACTGTCAAACTAATCTTTGTTTATATTAACCTTCCCACAGTTGATTTAAATAAATACTTATGAGTCAACTAAATTAATATAGTTAAATTAACTATTCCTTTTTTTTGTGTAGGTGCACTTCTCAAATATTTTTAGATAAACCCCGTTTTGGTGTTTGCTGTATATAACATTTTCAACCATTATTCATGGAGTTTATATTCACACCACTTGGTATTGGATTTAGACACCATTTTAAGATTACTTTTTACACCACAGATATTTTAAACAGTGTGACTTTTTGTGTTTTGCTCAATTGTATAACTATTAATATTGGCGAATGCGCCACATATTGAAATAACAAAAGGAGACTTTTTTAAAGTAATAATTTTAAGTTTTAATGTTTGTAATTTTTTAAAAAGTATTACATTTATGTGTTAGCACAGGGATATCCTATTTTGCGGACAAATAAAATTGTGCTTTGAAGATAAAATGTTGTATGCCATTCCGCCAAGAAGTGTCTGTTTGTTAAAACTTCGATCTCAGCACAAAAAAGGCTCACTTTTTGGCCTAATGACATAAATTACTTGTTTGTGTTAAAAAACTTTTAATCAATACATTTTGTCAT